GCTGGCTGCTTCTAGGGGCTTGCTGCCGCTGAGTTGAACCGTGGCGCTTAAACTATTGTTTATGCCTGTTTTAACTGTGCTTAGAGGACCTCTTGGCAAGCGGGGAGCAAGTTCTGGTAGCAGCCGAGGCCACTGCCCTGTCCAGCCCGCAGGAGCCAGGAGAGGATTTGGCAGTTGTAGCGAGGAAAGAGCTTAACCACGTTCAAAGCGATGCAGTTCCCTGTGAATCGCTGGAGACGGAGCCGCTGCTCCCAAAGAAGCCTGCCGCCTCCGTGAGTGACTCCTGGGAACGCCCGGCTGAAATCCATGGTGACCAGGCGGGGGAACTGAGCGCCCAGAAGGGACAGGCAAGCGACGGATGGTGCGTGATGCACTTGGCAGAAGCCTCTGGCAATGGTCGAAAGGACAAAAGCGAGGAGCAGCTTGGTCAGCCAGCAGAGAGTCGGGACTTGGACCATGAAGAGTGGGAAGTTGTTTCCGAGCACCTGGCCTGGGGGGAGGCTGTTAAGAATGGCAGCGCAGAAGACTCTGACAACAAGGAGGGGGAGCAAGGAGACTGCCCTGATGGGGACTTGAAAGCTAAGAGAGTTGCAGCTGTGCCCCCGATGCTTCAGAACATCCACGTGACTTTCCGCGTGCACTATATCACACACTCGGATGCTCAGCTGATTGGTGTTACGGGTGACCATGAGTGTCTTGGCCAGTGGCACAGCTACGTTCCACTCAAGTATGACAAGGACGGCTTCTGGTCTGAATCCATTATCTTGCCAGTAGACACCAAAGTAGAGTGGAAATTTATCTTGGTGGAGAACGGGAAGGTCAGACGTTGGGAAGAATGCGGTAACAGAACCCTAGTGACTGCACACGAAGATCAGATGGCTCACCAGTGGTGGGGATATCATTAAATAGATTTTGGAAGCTGCTTATTTAATGGCAAGCCTGCTTAGATAAGTCACGGAACCTCTGAACCTTTACCCCTCTTCCAGTAGATCATCTCAATTGCAGAGCTCTGTACATCTTGTATCAAACCTGGTTAAACGGGGTGAGCAGCAGATCTTGCTGTCTTTAGGAGTTAATTCAGCAACCTGAAAAGTCAACCTCAAAACCTTCTGAAGATGTGCAAGGTAGGCTATGAAGGCATGAGCAGCGTTCCAAGCAGCTGCCTGTCAGGATAAATCTGGACCCTGGACTTAAGTTTGCATTGCTTTGAGTGCGGTTATGGGATGAATCATTGTACAAACTGCTTAGGGGCTTTAAAAGCATACTGGAAAGTGTGGTTGCCTGCACTGTAGTAGGAACTTAAGCATTTTAACTTATGTAACGTATCAGTAAGCAATAAACACTTTCAGACTGACGGTCCTTCATAACTTGACCTGTGAACTGACTCTTAGTAAGTTGGGATAGAATAGAACTGATTTAGTTGAGCTGTACTTTTAGTGCTAGAAGTTCCCCGAAAAGTGTCTGGTGCTCTGGAGTACCAAAGCTTTAATTCTTAAGTACTTCGTTCTCTGCTCCCTGTTCTCTAGGAAATACCTCAGCCCAAATGAAGGCTTGGCAGATAGGTCCTTTTTAGTTGGATCATTCTGCTAAGAGGAGAGCAAAGGTCAGAAGCGACTGTCTGATGCGCTTAATAAATTACTTTTGTCAGGGTGGGACCAGGCTTTAAAAAAAACCTGGACTGCTGTGGTGGCTAAGGGATGGGATTCTATCTGAAACAAGCAGGTACCTTGTTCTGCCTACCTCTGAACAATACAGAGCAACTACCTCTCTTCAGTGCTAGGAACTCTCTTTTCTGAGGCTCATATGCTTGTCTCAGGACTAGACTTTTCCATATGAATTTGCTCCCTCTGAATTGTGAGCTTCTAGTAAGCCAGATGATGCAAAACACTTCCTAGCCACAAAAGACAAAGCATCCAACAGCTGACGTTTATACATGACAAAAGCGGAAAGCTGCTTGCCTGCCCTTTGTATTGTAGGATACAAATAACATAATGCCCCTTCCAACAAACTCTCCTTCCCATAAGGAGGAACCTAGTTTGCTCATATGACTTCCCTAGTGTGAACTTGCTCTGAAGAGGGTTGTTTTCTAGGAATTCTGGAAGGGTATACATTGGCAATTTAGTTGGGAAGAGTAATGTCAAAATCATGTTTCTGAGTAATTGTCTCTGCTTATTCTTTTTTCCTTGCATGGTGGAGCAGTCTGAGTATGTGAACTGGATCGTTTTTTGAGTGATAACAGATGAACTTCAGAAGTTTAGCTCCTGCAGTTTAATGGCTAACTGGCATACAGCTGGTGGACTGTACTAGAGCTGCTGTCAAGAACAACTGTCTGAAATGTTGCTACTGGATCTTAAGTGCTAGCTGTTTCATTATACAAATCCACTCTGAGTGAGTGGCGCTGCCTGCTCATGTAGGCATAGCCACAGAAAAGCTAAAGACAATCTGGAGTTTTTTTGAGGGGAGGATGAGAAGGGAGGGGGAACTTTGGCAAATGCACTGGTGCATTGGTAAGCTGGAGTCTGTCTCAGGAAAACGAGTATCTCCAGTTGTCATTACATGACAGAGCATCTTGTTCTGTGGGTCAGGATTACTTTTGCAGATACTGTCAGCTTTACTTTCTGGTTGTCTTAAACAACCTAAAGCTTCTGGGGAAGAAAAGTCTTGATTTCCTGTCTGAAGAGACCTTGTATACAAGAGAATATTGTAAGAAAAGGTGGTAGGGGTAAATGCAAGGTTGCAAGCTTTTTATGTTAACTGGACTAAAAAGGGAGAGGAAGGTGCTGTCAATTCAGGACGTGCCTAATGCTGGTTCAGTGGGTTCTGGAAGGAAGAGGTCTCGCACGTGTGAGCGTGTTAGTCCTAAACTTCTTCAGAGACAACTAATATTAGTGCAACTTATTTAGTGCCTTAATTTGAAAGGAATGGGACTTTCTTCGAAGCATACCCTGCGTTAAAAAAACTAACATGAGGCTCATTTCAACAGAGGAGCTACTGCTTCATTGTAACAAATGCTCCTGCTGTTTAATTATGACCTTGCTTTCTATCTGTGTATAAACAGAAAGCTCTAAGATCTGTCAATGTGCATTATGACTGAATACACAAAATACTTGTGTGGGCTTCAGTCATCAGCTTACAGCTTTAAATGAATAAGCAGAATCATGCTGGAACTACTGCTCTTGTACAGTAATTACATTTTTGTACTCACCTTTCCTACCAATAAATCAAAGTTAACAGTATACCCGGGGGGTACAGTTGAAATAGAAATTTTTTTTTTAAGGAACCACTCAAGTTTAAGCTAAGCATGTTATTTCAAGATGCCCTAAGTTATTTTTCCCATTGCTGCTAGTTCTTCAAACAGTAAGGTACTGTGAACTTAAAAACCACTTGTTTAACAGCCTTTGCCATTTGAGTGGAATTATACATACATTGCAGGCTCGTCTGAGAAGATTAACTGTGTTATTAGATTAAGATATTCACTAGAAAGCCACTTACCCTACACTAGAATAGATCCTCTAATGCAATGATGAACATGTTTCAGACTAACCCTGAAAAGTCTCTCAAATTAGAAGTAAGGATACTTTTTTAATTAAACATGCTGCCCTTTGATCCCACAGACAGCACATACAGAGTCTTCGTGGTTGCATTGTCTTGCTGAATGACCAAGCAAGATTTCTACGCAGACCTGCACTGCACTCTTCCAAAAACGTCTAAATTACTGCATCATTCACGTCACTCCTTGCCCAGCAGGGTCCATGCTATGTAAATGCAATGCCATTTGTATGGCGAATGAAACAAATCTGGATTTCAATGCCAAAGGAGTAGTTAATCAGCATTTTCTCCAGGTTTACAGAGATAATTTCTCATTACGGAACGATGCATTCACTCAAGCCTTAAGGTAGACTTAAACAGCTATAAAGTTGCTTTGTTACATGAAAGGTGGTCATACTAGAATGGGCTGATGACTTGTCTAGGACACAGTCCTGACTGTGAGCACTGGTGGAAGCTCTATGTGAGAAGTCATTGTTGACATTCCCAGGTAGATATAACAGCCTCGCAGCCAGCAGCTTGGGATTTCTAAAAGCAAATAACAAACTGCCTCACTTGTAGCTTGGCAAAGAGAGAGAGAGAGGCTGACTTAGAATGTAGGTCTTTGGTTGCTATCTGCTCAGGCTGTTGTCAACTTGATTATTTTTAGGTGAAATGCAATCTAGTCTCATTTGTGAAGTATTGTGTACAAATGTGAAATGGTACATGTCGCTGGTAAGCTGAGCAAACAGCCTAAGGCTGGCACGGAGACTGGGCTCTCTTTGGGCAGGACCTAGTTAAAGTGGTATATAGAAACTTGCATTGCAACTGGCTGCTTATTTATTTTGCAGGTGCCTTTGCAAAAAGCAAGCCCCTTCCTTACCTTTCTTTGGAAGTTAAACTCGCTGCTTGGAGGCTCTACACTTGATCCACTCGAATACATTAGACTGGAATTAGGTTTTATATCTAGGGGGTTGGTTCCTATCTGTGGTGTCTTATTGTGGTCAAAATTTGCCTAACAGTCCTGTCACCCATAAACCCGTATCTGTATGACACGGGATAACAGTGCCATTCATACTGCAAAGTCCAGGACACAGATATCTGGTCTTGGCCCTGCTAATCTATGGCCTTTTCACCTTCCCAAGCTAATGTTTTCCTTTCTGGTAGTGGCAGAGAGTAAGCCCAGACCTGTACCAAGCTCTGCCGGGTTACAGCACAAGGATGTTAAGTTGCTTTCCTGCGTGGCAGATCTCCTTTCTCCCTGGCTATTTCCACCTCTCCACCTGTCCCCTTCCATTCTTGCAGGGCTGCAGCCTTTTGAAACTCTCTTTAACTTGGCTGCTTGAGCACAGCTGGAAGGGCACTTTTCACTGACCTTTTTGAGCCTGCTGGGCTGCAGGCTGAATACAGACTCTCATTCACCTCACCTCTTTCTTACTAAAGCCTTGGTAAATCTGTCTAATATGTAAAACAGGCCTAAACTGTAATGCAAAACCCACCTAAAACAATCATGTCAGTGCAACTGATTCCTAGGAAAAGGGATGTGCCTTTACTAAGATTATGACTAAAGCTTGCAACACTGTTTCCGAAGAATCAGTGGAAAAAAAAGATCTGCTCAGAGAAAACTGCTTGAATTAAGTGAAAATACTGTTGCTAATGACAGAGGACAGTTTAAGAACACCTCTGTAATCTCTCCTTTCCCACAACGAGACCCAAAATCGAACGAATCCAGAGGTTTGGTCTGCTCTGAATATAGTTCCATGCAGCTTTAAAGCCAATAAAACAAAGTTCATGACTGGATGGCTTGTGCTAATGAAGCTGCTTTTGCAGAGCCCTGCTTACAAATCATCTGGTGTGGAGAAGGTTACTGAATTGACTGTAACTAACTCCTTGAAGGCCAGCATGGCTTTCCATGCTGCCACAGACCCAAGGCAACCACTGCTTTCCATAAAGCAGAGAAAGACAACAATGCTAATGCTAGTGAATCTGGTCCATAGCCACCTCCTGCTGACCCAGGTACAGCTGTATGGCCTACTTTTTTGTGCTCAGGCACGGATTTATTGGGGGGGGACATCCTGCCTCTTATCATGTTAGTACTGTCACGGCGTCTACAGAAAAGCCCCCCTGCTACCAGGCCAGCAGCTTCAGTTACCGATTTCTCAGACAGCCTTGCTGGACTCTGAAGGGGCAGTACTGTACCTGCTCTTCATGAATGGGTCCCCAGAGGGAAAAAAAAAATCAAATGGCAAATTCTGCAAACATATTCAATTGAGGGATGGTATAAAATTTCTCCTCTCTTTTGTCTGTGACTATCTTGTTCCCTGAGATATCATCAAACTCTAATGAGGCTTTAAACATCAATCTGATTTTTGAGTGATTCCGTTTATCTTCTTGCTTTTGAATTGTTTATAGCATAAGATATTGTGTTAATTCTTTCAAGTGCAGTAAGTCATTTGCCCACTACTGCAAAAATTCTCAAATGTCAGAAGTCACAGGAGGTTTAAAAATAAATCGGTGTATGCCAGATGTGCTCAACATTCTTTCCTGTTTATTACTAAATCTTAGACTAGGAGTGGCCTTCCAGAACGTTATTTTTAGGCATGCGTATTAAGGGAAGTCTATGCGTTTTGGTGACTCAACTGAAGAAGATTTTGGAGAGCAACTGGAAGTAATTATGCCCAGCTACTTTAGCAAACTTCTTTTTAAAATGGCTGCTGGAGCCTGGCATGTAAGTCATACTTAGGTATTTAGAGTATTACAAGAAAAGTCAGTGTGGATGCCAAATGCATTTTTTTCTGCCTAACTTTCCTCTTTTTCAGTTCTACAGAGGGCCACAGATTGA